CAAATAGATGGGAATGTCGCCCATGCAAAACTCTATCGATCCTTTTACTTTCGCAAATCTTCCAGTAATTCATTGATAGTAATAAAGGCGCATATAAAACTTAGTTTTGGTACTGTTTTGCATCAGGAAGATAAGACATCGAGAAAATCTGTTTTGTTCATGGCACAAACGGTGTTAGTAAAGACAAACGCTAATGTGAGTTTGTAGAGAATTGGATGCTGTTTCAGAAAGTGTTTTAGCAAAAGGACAAAGTTCATTTAGTATATGAAAATTATTGATTAATTCTAATTCTCAACTCTTTTTCTGAAACAAATGAAAAACTTACGAATTTCTAATTGGAAAGTAGATCGAAAGATAATTTATCACATCTCATTCGAAAGAGCAATAAAAACACTTCTATTTTCTATAATTACATAATTTCAAACGTACTCAGTTATTGGAAAAAAAAGTACATTTGATGAGAGAGATAGTTAGGAGATGGCGGAATTTACAAGAGCTTTTTTGGCGATGCTTGAGATTCAAATTTTTTCTCACTCAAACTCAACCACAAAAAGTTTGCCTTTCCATGTTTTTTGAAGTTCAGACTTTGCTCTTTCCAACGGAAAAATAATTAACTTTCCAGCACATCAGGAACATGTAGAAATAATGCTCGACATTTGTCCAATTACTTTTGCAACGTAGGTTAGTAGAACAGACGACAAGAGTATAGATTCGTAACTCAGTAAACTAGTTTATAGATAAGAAACAGCAACACCTATAGTACAAAATGTATCCAATTGTTGAGGAGCGTTGATGGCACAATAGATAAAATCGTTGTCTGTGATGAGACATAATCGGGGTGCAAATCCTCGTCAGCGCGTATATTTTTTTGGAATTTTTTTTAAGTCTCCCGAATTGAATTTTTGGAAGTACTCCGGACTAAGAATCATGGTTCCATAGGCAATCGAGCATGCTGATTCCGAATATCCCATTCCCCCGGACTCAAACCGCATTTGAAAATTTCGAAGTCCGGTGATATGAGGAGTGTTTCTCAGCGCACAGAATATAGACAGAAGGGAAAACAAAGGGCAAAAAGACGGCGTTTATGTATCATCCTTTTCTGTTCTGGCTCAGCTGATACAAGAAAGATTGTAAATGTAAAATGTAATCATCAGGTCGCCGTATCAATTAAATAGGTCGTAGTATCAATAAAATGTATCAAATTAGACAACGTAGCAGCTGTTAAAGGATAGAAAATAGCCCATCTATCTCAAAAAGTAAATATGAGCCTGAAAAAATCCCAAATCCCAGGTGTATAAAAAGATAAATATCTATGCACTTCTGTTACTTTGAAAAATAAGTTCTATCGCTAGTAGCTGGATATATACACTTGCTCATCTCATTAAATACGCATTCTCGACCCGATTAGAGCATTCTGGCTCCTCGGGCTTGCTTTCAGTATATACAGAACACTGGAAAATTCAATAAAATTCTGAATTTTTCGTATGTTTTACAGTTCTGCGACACTAGAGTATCTAACTTCCACAGTGCATACATGCTTTATGCGTTATCCACTTACGACCTGCTTGATTTTAAGACAAAAGAAGTATTAAAAAGAATATAAATCATTTTTCAAGACTAGTAACAGCTGCTACGCGTTAATCCGTTCACTTTTTTTTATCTCCAGCAATTCCGATAAAAGTCATTTTCTGAATGTATTTTTATGGCTGGCGACTTGATGATAACTGTTTTGACTGAAGTTTCAACATTTACATTTGTTGCTACAGACCTAGTATTTAATGAACTCTTTTGCTCCTTTTCTTTTGTGTTGCCAAAAGACAAGTGAAAAGAAATAATTACCATTAAAAAAACAGAAACTATAGAAATACTATGAACATCCTAAATATCAGCATCCATAGGAATATTACGAACATAAGGAACATCAAAGATATCAGCTAAATACGCAGGACATCTCACTCATTTCACCAATATACACTTTCTCTCACTAGTATTTCATGTAGTATCGTGTAGTGTGTTCGTTACCTCACATTACTCCTCGTCAAAAACAGCTATATTATTTCTAAGAACTATTAAGCTACGGTAGAATAATCTTACTCTTTTTGCTTAGTTCGAAATTTTTCTTTTTTGCTATTATGTTGGCGGATTTTCGAGAAAGAGAAAACAAGAATATTAAGAAGATTAATTAATAATTTATTTTATCATTAATATTTCCTCGGTTACACGAAAAGCGAGTCGTAATCGGGAGTAAATTTCGTTTAGAAAATCATTTTCTCTCATTCTTTTCAACTTCAAGTTGACATGTCTTCTTCTACTCTCGTATTCATAGAAGAGGGAGTTCAATTGTACATCACAATTTAAACCTAAATTATATTTCTTAATTACAAAATATCATTTAGTTATTTCGTTCTAAATGTGCATTTATGTTCAAAAAAATTTTCGTCTGCACTTTTCTGTTCTCTCTCGTTCGCCTCATGGAATTTAAACAAATGAATCATTATTATCAAATACATTATCGTATTATAAGAGGAAGAAGTAGAAATCTTCATTCAACACGAGTAATTTGCCGCTGTTCTTCATTAGTTGAAGCCTTTCATCACTATCAAAAGTTATTTGTATTGTTAATTCATTGAGGACAAATTGTTGATGTTATCAGGAATGTTGAACTGGGATTATTTTGTGAGCTAGGATAGATAGGGCACTAGAACACGCATTCACATCTATCTTTAATTTGTATGGCAATTTGAAGCGCACAAGTTGTACTCTATGCCAAGCTATCTTTTAGGAAAAGCTACCGTTTAGTTTTTTAGTAATAAGGCTGCTAATATTACAGCTGAGCGTACGAAAAAGTAGATACCAATAGAAAACCAATTATCAACGTTTAAATGTTAGCGATAACGCACAATGCTTTTAGACACTTTATCTCGACAGAGATCGAACTCAGTTAGATCTCTAGGAGGAAGATGAGGAGGATGGCTTTCTAAAAGTTTTTGTTCAAAGACCTTTGGATGTTTAATGAAAGATCTGACCTATAACGATTTTACTGAAGCTAAAGCATTCTCCTATGGTATCACTTACATTAAATACTACAAACCAGATTATCAGTCTTATGTGTATTGATCTTGCTTGCTGTTGCTTGTAAACGTATCAAGTATATTAAAATTCTTTTTCTTTTGCTTTCATGAAACCAAACTGGAAGATCTGGTATTGAATCCATATTATTGACTCCAGTTGTGGTTGTTTTTTCATTAGTTCAGTTTGTGTTGACTAGTTTCGCTTCATAAGGACGTCGATTGTTCTGCTGTACTATACATAATGTCCATCGAATGACGTAACGGCATGCACCAATATTCTTCACTGGAATGACTAGAATACAGAATAATGATACCCAAGGTTTCCACACAGATAAACATATTGATCATTCTTAATTGATGTATCTGTACTGTAACAGTACTTTTATGGTTTGTGATTCCTTCGTAACGCATCGAACTATGAGTGATATTACATTTTGAACAATACCATTGAAATGGCGACGAGTGGTCAACTGATCCTAAATATTGTCAATTGTCTGACATAAAAGCTCCTCATTTTTATATGGTTTGGTTTTTCACTTCAAATTCCTTCACCTCCTCTCATTCCATAGAACTTACGACAATTCTATAAGGATCTTATAGAAATCTTATAGAATCTTATATAAGGTAGTCGATGCAAATGCGTAAGATATTGATAACAATACGAAGGAATATAAAAATCTTCCGATAAGAATTCGCCAAGACAGACTATACAATTAGTTTAGAAGAGTTCATAAGATTTTGGTAAGTTTAAGATTTACGTCAATGAGAGCATTTCCAAATAACAGAAAAGTGCCTTACAAAGATGTCACTGATCCAAATCTCAGGGCCTACCGGTTTTCAAACATGAGGGATCCAGTGGCGATGTCAGTTTTCTTTGATTTTGACTTTCGTAATGGGATTCTCGAAAACCTGGATTTTGAGGTGAGAGGTTTTGGGGGGGATTTTTATAAAAAATGTATTGATACATAAAATTTTTCCAAACTATGCTCACCAGATACAACATATTTTTCTCTATCTAAAAATATAATTTTATGGAGGATTTCCAGGGATTTCCCAATGAAAAACCGAGGTTTTGGAGAGATTTTCGCTAATTGCTGGAGATGAAAAGTTAAAAGTTTTTTTTTCGTTTTACACTTGTCAAACTATATAGTCCCAACGTATAAGGTTGCAAACATCAGCCCCTATAACAGTGAGGTTTTCTAGAAACCGCCGGCGGACGTCGCTTTTTTTTTAAAGTAAATTTTGCTGTTAAAGTTAAAATAACCACATGCAAAAATATTTTATACGTAGAACTAATATACTGAAGAAAAAATAATATTGAACAAGGTTAAAAGGGTTTTAAAAAGATTTTCAAAAACCCTATAGGGTTTCAGTACTCAAAAGATATTTAAAATGTTTCTTGATGTTCAAACCTTATTTAACACGAGTCGATAGAGTTTTAGTATATTTTTGTTTTTTGTTTTCGACTTAAGGGTCCTAAAAGACCATTTTTAGCAAGGTTTTGCAGGGTTTTCGAAGGATTTCAGTGGTTATACTAAGTTTTTCTTATTTTGTAAAATTTTAGAAACACATATCACGTGATCTCACTCTTTAAATGTAATTCTTATTGTACATGACATGTACTCATCTTATTGCTCTATGACTCCGCCATCTCACTCGCGCATTATGAAATATGTAAGAAATCACATAGACACATGACATCTAATATAGCTAATCTCAATACAAGTGATATCACGCAAAAAGATCACATATATAAATAGGAAGAAATTTCAACATTCAGTCATATTCAACTGTCTATATGTTCAAAAATGTCACATATATGTGTTGTTTGTCGAAAATCCAGTAGTTCTGGAAATGTTGTTGGTCGACATCGTAAAAATGTTTCATTTTTTAATATTCCAACTAACCCAACAACCGACAAGAATGGTTTCAACTCCTAAATTTATCACAAGAAAATATCAATTCGAATACATTAAGAATATGTAGTGAACGTTTTGATGATGCTGACATTGAAGGTGGACGTCGTCGAACTTTAAAATCTGGTGCTTTTCTAAAACAACAAGGTGTTAGACAAGCTAGAACAAGATCAAAATCAAGTGGTTCAACAACATTATTACGTGATACATTAAATATTTCAACAACCTCAAAAATGTCTATAGATGATAATACCATTGGAACTGATATATTTAATTTAACATTATCATCTGGACCACTGTTAGTATTTGATACATTTAGTAATAATATATCTGAATTCTACATTAGCTCACACCCGGAAACCTGTCAAATGCTGTGAACTTCTTTATAGTATTACCTAGCATTTTGTCTTGTATTTTACTAGTAACAACTCATTAAATGTGTTTTTCAAGACTACATTCTCTGTTCCAATCAATCAAGAAACTCGTTTCTTTGACCACTGACTATTGGATGATGGGTCTTAACTTATGCACCGCAAGAAAAAATATACATAATAATATACAGCAAAAAAAGTACTTTACGACAAAACAATCGGTACACAATTAATAAATACAAAAACGACAATGAAAGATAAGAAACAAAATAATTATCTTATAGCCACATATGAACAGAATCACCACGAGCGGATGCGCCTCTCAAGCAAAAGTTTAGTTTGACTGTGTTCTGTTTTAACCAGTTTTCCACAAATGCTTCTGATGGTAAAAAAGGAGATGACATCAAGAATACTGATAGCGTTATTAATTTTCTGAACTTTTTAAGAATAATTGGCATGATCGCATAAAATTCGTTAGCAGTGGCAAGATTATAGATTCTAAATGATTCCAAATTTGAAAAAATATGTGAAAATAATTCTACATTCTCAATTGACCAGATTTTGCCATCACCAGATAAACATAATTCATTAATCATCACCAGACGTTGACAAATATGATCTGAACTTTTGATTAAGCCAAGAAGATAATCAACACTTAACATTAAAGAGGAAATATTCAGGGATAAGTTCAGCAAACGTTCGAATGTTTCAAACGGCCACCAATTATCAGACCACATTCGTAACTCCTTTAAATTCGACAACTGGATTGTTCGGCCAAGGTCGTCCAAAACCGATGAATTCGGAAGTTCCAACATATGTCCTAAGTACAATGTTTTGACATTAAAATATTGACATTTCGTGTGGCGCAGTTCGTTATAATCACAAACATCCAATTCATCGACTTCTATACGAGTTGGTGATGAAGTTGGTTTACCTGTATTTCTTGAAAAGAAGAAAGAATACAGAAGTTATGAACCGTCTAAGCAAATAACCAAGCTCATATTACAATAAATGTTTTCCAGTTTTCAATCTACTGCACGGCTTGGCCAGGAACTCTGCTACCGGAGTGATATTCTGTGACGGAATTTCACTTCGGTAGCAGAGGTAGGTGACCAAGCCGCGCAGTCTTTACGAAATGATTGTTACAATGAGAAAAAGAAAAGAAGTTTAATGAAATCTATAATTTCTCTTAATTAATTTACTTACAAAATTAATTTACATTCATACAGCATTCGAACGGTCTTGAAGCGGAGAACAAAGTTATAACTGCAGATTTCTGAATTTTTGCTGATGGCTCTTGAAGACTCAGTTTTCAGAAACTCAAAAAATGTCCAAAACCTTTCTTAATGAGACATGATTATAGTTCGAAAATTTCCAATTAAAATAAGATATCTCGCAGCTCTACATGATCTTTCTTTGCAAAGTTATAGAATTCACACGAAAAGCGCTAAATGTTCACTGTCGGCTCAAACCTGCAGAAATAAGGAAAAAATTAATTTAGCGCTTTTCGTGTGAATTCTATAACTTTGCAAAGAAAGATCATGTAGAGCTGCGAGATATCTTATTTTAATTGGAAATTTACGAACTATAATCATGTCACATTAAAAAAGGTTTTGGACATTTTTTTGAGTTTCTGAAAACTGAGTCTTCAAGAACCATCAGCAAAAATTCAGAAATCTGCAGTTATAACTTTGTTCTCCGCTTCAAGACCGTTCGAATGCTGTGTGAAACAAGGCTTCATCTCTTAAGGCAAGAGACTTGATGCTTTTTCGAGTGAAGGGTCTCGTTTTTGAGTTCTCTTAGAAACGAATTTTTTGCAAAGGTTAAGAATGATGTAGCAAAGAATCTGAGATTAGGAATGGAATGTTTACTGCTTACAAAAAAATGATCAGCGAGATTGACAGAAAATCAAGGACACTAGATTTTACCCTCTAGGATTTTGAATAATTAACTGTTATTATTTCTACGTGCTTATAATTACCCAGGTCGTCGATTCCGGCGTCAGGATCCTGACGGAACCTGCCGGATCAAACATCGGAACATACCGGAAGTTGTCAGAATTCGGTAAAATCCGGCAGCAACCATACCGGAAATCCGTTGCTCGGAATCCGTGCCGGAAGATGTCGGATCCGACATATTCCGGCCGATGAATCGGATTTCGCTGGATTTGGCAGAATGTCACCAATTTTGAGATTAAAAATAGTCTTAAATTTTTTCTGTCACTTTTTAGTGGTTCTTCTCTCTCTTCATTCGAGAGAGTGGAGGGACCCACTAGCTAGGACGTGTACAACACGTATGAGTGTGAGCGATGACTCATACTGTTAAGAATTTGAAAAGAACAACGTCTCATTTTTTATTTTCTGTAGTGTCGTATTTAAAGTGTTCCTGTCATGAACCAAAACGGTGAATATATCATGCGCACAGGAAAGAAAGAAAAAAAATAAGGTGCACATCACAGGATCCGTCGATTTCCGGTTAGCGGAAATTAACGAATCCAACTGGTTCCGGATATCGGATTCGATCTCCGGATCCTCCAGGAACCAAATATCGGAACTCGAAGGCATTGAGCAGATTCCGATCTCCGGAATTAAAAGGATCCGGCAGGATCTGATCGGGTGAATTCGATCTGGGTAGTGGCTGCGCCACTAAACGCCAGAATATTTTGAGCCCACCCAGAAATGAATTTTCTGGACTACATTACTCAGAATTCAGTGAGGCCGAGTCCACCCTGGCAAAATTCAGAGAGCCTTAGCTCATCCTAGTCTAAATTCCTGGCGCCGCCGCTACTTATAATGCTACACCAAGAATCAATGTGTAAAATCCATTCTAGATGATACTTTGGTACACAAAATCATCAACTTACGGTGCTAAGAATTCGTTATTGCATGTGGTAGCTGTTTGTATAGAAGATCCCACTTTTATATAACGATAATGATAAGGAAACGAGTAGAATTCTAAATCACATTTGCTTGTATCATAATCACAGGCCATATACCATTTTCGTTTTAGCCAATATTCAGTATGAAATGAAGCTAGCAAAGGAGCGATAATTGATGCCGATTGAACTTTCGATATATAAACATATAACTTGAATTTACTTAAGAGCGGCATACTTGACAAAAGATTTTGCCAACGAGAGCCATTACAAAAGTCACTATTTCCACTGGAGAAAGAAAATTGTTGTATTTGATAAAAACTTTTTAGTAATAACTCAACCTCTTCAAAAAGAATACCTGTTTCAGTTAAATGAAAATATCTCAGACTAGGACCAAACGGAATCGATGGATGTCGAAGAACAAGACTACTAGATGACGTAGAATCACATGAAACTACTAATCGTTTGATTTTTGGAAATGAATAGATTAAATTGACTAAATCATGTTTATCATGCACATCAACTGATACATATTCCAAAGTTGATATCAAATCATGATGAATGCGTCCAAGCAGATCACCGAAGTCTAATAATGAACATATTTTTAATGATTTATGTGCGAATATTGTATTATAAATATAATGTTGTTCCTCTTCTAAAGGGTTACCTGGTTCAGCCCGTTTAACTTTGACATAATATAAATACTGTAAATATTTTAATTTCGATGCAATTACTTTCAAATCAGCCAATGACACGTTATTAAGGATTAGCGATCGTAAATTAGTAAAAGATTCTATACAAAATAAAAGTGAAGAAAAAAAAAGGAAAGTGAAGAAGTTCTATCTCCTTTTCTATTGTTATAGAGGTGAACTAAATGTTTGTTTTGAAGTGTGACTAAGTCAGAAGGTATTTTGGAAAATCAAATTCGAAATTGAATGCTTCAGGGTTATCATCAACTGTTAATCTACGGTATCCACCTATATTTTTCAATTCTGGTTTGCCATGCGATTGGAATTAGATCTCAGAATATACCTTACGCAGAAAAAACAAGACTCGCGCCGCAACGTTTTAAAACTCCTCTACTTAGACCGCAACTCAGCGATAAGAATCGCGACTCGCGACGCGACTACGCAAATACTACTGTTTATATATCTGTGGTTGTCTCGACGTGACTCGCCATATCACGAATCGTGCCGACATGCAGCGATAAAAAAAATATAGAGATCGCGCTAAGAAATGTTCACTTGATTTTTTGAAAATTTATCAACTTTTCAAGTCCCGCCGTGAAGGTTAACTTGGGAAGAGGTATCCCTAATTGATTACAAAATAATACTCTAAAAAATGCTTTCATTAATTTCTTCATTAGAAGTTAACTACATATCGTTGGCTATCAAAGTTGCAAGGGCAATTTCTGTAATTAGTTTTGACTGAGCTGCAACCTTTCTAAAATAGAACTAGCCTCCGCGAATATCAATCAGTTCATAAAAAAGCTATAAGAACATATGTAGTTAGATATTCTCTTCAAACTAATTAACTTTGTGGAAACATATAGGGGGGCTTAGAGCCCCCTTTAGAATGATACTTCTAGAGTAAGCAATTGTTTTTGGTTTACGTCAAAATGATTGTGAAAACCTATGCTTGGGACAAACGAACAAGACTTAGGATGAAACCGCATAACAAAAAGATCGATTAGAAAGATATAAACAGAATTATTCCATCACCTTTAGGAAAGTGCAGAACAATTTCATATTTCTGTTTAAACGATAAATTAAATTCACAAAATCTTGAATCAATTTCTAAAAACCAATATTTTGGATCGGGTTCTTTTCGCTATATCTAATAATTTTCGATGATCTAGACAAAATCGAAGACTTGTGCCAGTTAATTATAGTAAAATTTTTTGAGAAAAACATGAAATTAAAATGGTATAAGTTTCGATATTTTTCACTCCCATCTCTCTCCATTGACGATTTATTTTTTTTCGTACGCTTCAAACTATTTTGATCTGCAACTGATTTTGTTAAAATAGGCATGTTACCACGTGAATTGATGGGATCAAATTTTTCTAATTAGGCCTTTGTTGATTTCTCAGAGATCCAACATAAAAGGCCTTTTTGACTTTCTACAGCTCGTTGCTTTTCTAAACAGGGAAGGCCAATCCACAAATCGGCTACTAGTCTGCCTAGAATTATTAGCTCTTCCGATTAATAAAATGTCGCTCTACCCATGGGGAAATTTTAGTAGGTACCGCGGTGTGCACACGCGTGAATATCGTGAAATGAACTGCAGTCACACGTGAACTTCGTAAAATGGTTGTGGGCACGCGTGAAAAATATATTCCACTTGTGACAACGCGTGAAAGCCTTCACGAAAACTTTTCGAGTCATATTTTTCGCACGTGGTCGCAGGTGAAAGTCGTGAAGTGTGTAGTGGCCACACCTGAATTTCTCACGTTAAAATTTCGGTAGAAAAATATCACTTGCGTACACGCGTGAAAACGTTTCGCGCTAATTTGATTGTATAAAATATCTTCACATTTATTCGCACGTCAGTTTTTCACGCAATCCATTTCGTGAATAATATTCACGCTTACCGCAAGCGACAAAATTCTTACGTTTCACGCGCGTCCACGTGTGAAAACTTTTACACGTATGAAATGTCGTGAAGATTGAGCGGCAAGCATAAATACAGATTCTAATGAACACATGCGTGGAAGAAATTAGGTGAGGTAACATCGGTGAGGATGTGATACTCTATAGTGTGGTTGGATTAGTTTATAAACTAATCCAGCATATATGCCTCACCTGTAATCGGTTCCTTACCACAGAATTGTTTAGAGAGCAGTTTTTATCTGGAGAGATTAGGTGTTTCAGAAGAAGTGTGTAATTTTTAGTACAAACATTGAAATATATTCGAGAAGTAACTGTATACAAATACAAATTCGAAACTTTAAAATTATGTACTTTCTGTCAACTTTGGATATTGAAGATAATAATAATATTGATTTGCTTTATCGTTTCCCTGGAAACGATAAAGCAATGTATGACCTGCTTCTTCACGAATAATTAATTTGTCTTGTGAACATAATGATACTGAACTTGTACAACGTCTATCACGACAACGCCATTCATTCGGAGTTTTATGCTCTCGTTTTTTAGTATATTGATAATCTTTATAATTTAAAACTGGCTTACCACGCTCAGTGAGAGTGAAATGTAACATTTTAGGAGAATTTTTGTGTACTCCCCTACTGAATATCCGTAAGTTTATATAGGATAGTGAGCTTTTTTTTAAGCATCCTAAACGGTTCTAAATTGTAGCCGTTTATATATTGTTAATTATTAGTGTTGGTCCTTTTACAAAGTTTATTAAATAAGTTTAAAAGCCAAATAATTTAGCCTATGTGTGCATTTGAGGGACGAATCGAGAAGGGACGAATCAAGAAAAAAATTTTAAGGGACGAAATGAGAAGGGACGAATTGAGAATGAAAATTTACGAGGGACGAATTGAGAAATCAATTAGGGACGAATCGAGAGGACACCATATTTATATACGTTGGCGTTTCAGCAGAATATTCTAATCATTTGTCTTCTGTTCTTTACAAAAAGCAACAGAGCAAGAAAGAGGACAAAACCAATGGACATGCTTTTTTGGTGCCTCGTAACCATATTGAATGTAAGTCAAAAACCTACCATCGTTTTTCTTCATTTCTCTTTGCCCTTCCTTATAGATTAAGAAGAAAAGAACAGTCAATTTAAAAGTGAGTCTTGATTACAAATTAAATAATCGATTTATGCGATTTTTTTCCTTATATATTTACTATAATTTTTTATCGTAAAATCATGTTCCTCTAGATAATCGTAAATTTTATCAATGTTCTTAAACAACATCATTTGACAAGATACACATGACCAATTGTCTTTAATTTAACACTTTCGTCACCCAGAAAAGGACCGGAGGGAGTACAAAATTTTTCCTTATTTTAAGATATGGACTATTCCAGCGTTGTGTACGTGATTCTCATACATAATGTGACTTCAGCACTGTTCTATCTGTCGACTTTTCTGTTTCTATAGATAGATACTCAGTGTTCCACTATGTTACTAAAACAGCAACATCATAAAAGCATTTAAAAGTGTAGGAAAACAAAAGCATGTCTTTGCGTACGCGACTTTTGGCTGGAGTGACCATACCTCAATAAATAATGAATTCAGCTTTCAAAACTATGTGAATTCGTTTATAGTTATGCAATGCATTCCGCAAAAAATACACAGACATCAATTGATAAAATAACAAAAGAAAAAAAGCTAAATAATCGAAGGGCTTTTTACATGACAATTTTTCAAATGATCGGCTTTTTTTCTTCTGAACGAAACAGCGGGACTTGCATCGTACATCCATTAAGCATTCTATGAAACGCAATCAGCTGTACTCTGATACATGATTTATTTCAATTGGTCAAACCAATCATAATCGTGAGCTAAAACCTGCTAGCTCTTGAAGTCTTGTTAACTACTTGTTCAAGTAAGGTGCTCCAAATTAGAAAGGTAGGCGTAAAGGTAGATTTCCACAAAACATACATCATTGGATAGAGCTCATCGAGCTGATTCTGAATATCGCCTTTTCATCGAGTTCGATCAAGTTTTGGAGGAGAAATCTTCAAAATATCACAAGAGTCGGAAAAAGTGAAAAAGTGAGTGTTATAGAAAAAATCAAGATTTGACCGTTTTCCATTCACTCTAGGTTTTCGAAACCATTTTATTCCGATTTAGCATCAAAAAGTGAGTATAGCCATGTGGGTTTGACAGTAGTTCATCGTTCTGATGTGTGCGATTGACTGAGAGTTACAGGCAGAATTCCGACTTTACTACACTAACGATAACTTTTCTCAGCGGGGATGCAAAAGTTTTCAAAAGCGATGCGTAACTTTGTACATCATCGACGGCGGTTCGAATGATGTGTGCTAGTTGGGACTAATTCTTGAATAAAAAGACTTCATGCATTTGCGGAAAGACGGTGTCCAAACGCCCGTTGGTGAACTTAGTCCGTCATGCTCGCAGACATACGGACAGCTGGACGAGCTGTGTCCAACTATGTATATTTCGAGGAAACCTATTATTATGCTTATCTTTCGAAGTTGAAGCACCTCACTTGCTGCAACCTCGAAATTACTTGAATAGGTTCTTTTATATACATAGTCGATGTGAAAAACACTACGATGATTGCTGAACGCACCAAGTTCTTGGCCCGTGAGCTAAACCTGCAAGCTCCTGAAGTCTTGTTAACTACTTGTCAAGCAAACTTGTTAGAACCTCGAAATTACTTGAAAGATTTCGCAAGAACCCAAGAAGTTGACTTCAATAACATGAAGTAGGGATATATCACTTATGCGGTGAGATCTGTGATCAATCTGTCACAACCTTAAATATAATCGCCTTTTTAGAATCATCGTCAGAAATGGATTTGAATATAACTACTACGCATATCTGGTCTGGGACACAGCAACAGTACGTGTTGCTCAAAGGTCCTCCCTCTCAAAGCTATGCGTACGTGTTTGCCGACTCGTTCATTCTTTCGTTCGATGTTGTCAACAATCAGATTGATCAAATCATTAATAATACTGATCTATTCAGTTCTGCTCCAATAATACCCCACGCGGTCGATATCACCGATTCATCGGGGATCCTTGTCTGTTTTTTTATATTCCTTTTTAAAATAGTTCTACCGCTCTAACTTCCTCTATTTGAAGAGAGATGTCACTTCCTAACACCTCCTCTCTAACACCAGATGAGCGATGCATCTGCTCATCGTTAATTATATCAAAAGAAACGAAATTTAAAGTCAACCGAAAATAGAGAAAATTCAGAATCAAGCATAAATCAAGTAAAACTCAAAATTAGATGAAAATGCAAATCAAACGTGTATTGAAACATATTACAAACGCGGTAAGTTTGTGAACTTGAATATCTTAAAACATTCTGGAAAATAATCGTGTTTATATCAATTGTCAGCATGCTGGAGAGGTTTGGGGTGTAGTTGGAACGCTTGCGTGTTATTTTGTTCAGCGGTCGATCAATACAATACACTGCCACTTGTAATTATTGATTAATCACATATAATATTGTTGTTTGTAATGGTTAAATATCACATGTGACGTCATCGGTAGTATCATTGCTAATCATAACGTATGTATCTGCATGCTAATGAATTTCCTACATAATACTCAATCAATATTATTCATTCAAGTATTTTTATTTGGTTTCATATTCAATTAGTGTTGTTAATAATACTATAACTACCATCGTGTGAATATTTTTTTCATTACTTTATGTAAAGCCGTTGCCATGTGTATATCATTTTCTAACCTGATGAATAATTCTTCGTTTAGTGGGATGTTTGGAATCAATTAAGTGTTTTTAATACTGTTATTATTCAATAATTAAATATCGTGCACAATAATAATCATAAAATAATCTCTTGACCATGCAAAATTTCGTAAAGAAAATGTGAACCAGTTACAAAGGTCGGCATTATCTAAACGACATAATAACATATCCAGTTCCATGTAAAACACTAATGATATACCATTCCTCGCATAAATCATACTATAAATCACACCAAATAATAAATATAAGTAATTTGAACGAGATCTAACAACGTTCATAATATGGAATTAGGTGAGTGATGTGTTTTTCTTGTTTTCATTTTCATTTCATTTCATTTTATTTAGCTTAAATCTAAGCAGGGAAACAGGAAAAGCCCCCGACTTGTAAAATACTGCTCCCAAAAATCTTTCCAAATAAGAACGCACAAAAAAAACAAAATAAAACAGAGACAAGGTACAATAAACAACAAGTAAAGTTAGAATAACGTTTTGAACATCCAATAGAACAATAAACATTTACATTTAGCAACAGAGATGAGCGCGTAGGCGAGCTTTAAAGACTGGTAAAGAAACAACAGTAGCATTAGAAGTGTTAGTAGGATCAGGATTGCTGATGACATGCTGCGGAAGTTTGTTCCATTCGTCCGCTGTTAAGTAGAAGAATGATCCCTGTACACTTTTCAATGATGTGAAAGGAACAAGCACCGGGAAAGGATTTTGGTTTAGACGAAGACTGACTCTTGTATCACGCATAGAAATGATACATAGAGGAGAGATGTCGAATAACAGTTTATAAAAGTGTAGAAGACGAAAGTAGCGTCTACGGGAGACAAGGTCTGGCAACTTTAGTTTAGGAAGAAGGTCATCACCGTTAGAATGGAAGTCACACGAAATCATCCATGCCGCTAGCCTGTGCGTAGAAGCTAGCCTAGAATAGAAAGACGTAAACAAACTATCGTAAACAATTAACCCATAGTCTATAGCACTCAATATGCCTAGACGACGTCTAAGCGAAATAACTAGTCTGTCTACATGCATAACTTCGAACACGCCTTGCGGTGGTTCTTGATTTTGTAAGAGACGGAGCTGCTTCCGTCGTTGTGTGTTGAATTGGGTACATTTTTGACAGGATCGAAGATACTTTTGTATGGATTCAAACATATTTATCCAGTAATATTTATTTCTAATTTTGTGATATGTTCGACGCACACCAAAATGGCTACTGAACGGGTGATCATGATATGCAAATACGATTTCGGGTTGTATTTTTGTTGGTATCCAGGATAATTTTAATTTTGTTGAGCCACCTCTTTCAATTAATTTTATATAGTATATCATCTTGAACGATGTCTGATGAATATTTGTGTGGATCTTTATTCATTTGCTGTATTCTAGCTTGGATAATTATATCTTTTTGTTGCTCATTTCTAATGCGTCCCATACTGAAATCAATTATTGAGCGATGGTAATGTTGTGGGTAATGGATTATTTGTTTGTATAATTGATATATCGTTTACTGTACTTGTTGTTATTATTGGATTTGTTGCCTTCTGCGTTTTCGATCATGTCATAATTGTATTGGGCGATGTGTCTGATTGCAACTGTTAGCTCATTTGTTAGCCCTCCGATGCTGGGATAGCTAGTAAACAGGGGAAATGAGTTCAATCCCACGCCTCTGTGAATAAGCCGAGACCAGCATCTAGTGGAATCCGGAAAAGCTAAACAAAATCTGCTGCGAGAAAGGAAATCACAAACCTTTGCTGAATAAATGTCAAAGTGAACTTGTGAAGACGATATTGTATCTCTTTAATGTGTATTTAATACGAGTAGAAAGAAAAATAACAATAAAACAGTGTTTAAAAATCTTTAAATATTTGTGTAGTGCTAGATCCAGTTTTTTACGGGGTTTCATTTGGTATAAAATTCATTAGGTACCTACTTTAAAATCACGTAGTTACCCTCCTGGAAAAAGGTTATGCAACACGCTGTATATACCAGGTATTTACTTTTATCTACTTTTATTAGCAAATATTTAGTTGTAGATAGTGAGGAGCGAAGACATGATTTTATAAATAAAAGTGTCCAATATATTTGTTTTTAGATTTCAACATATTATTTTAGACACATGGCACCAATTACTCGTTCGAAATCAAAGCAGCAGCCACAACAGCAAATAAATACAGATAATGCCAACGATTCAGGCGATATTTCGGGGTTTTTTCACCACAGCAACAACAGACTTCAACAGATGATAATTCAATGAATGGTTCAGACTATGAATTTGATTATGAAATCGCTAAATCTGTTGGACATGAAAAAGAAAACATTAGAAGAAGTTGTCTCCGCCTTTTCGTTCTTGGCTGGTGCACCAGTGCTTCGTAAAAAAACTTGGAAAAAAGAAAAACCAAACGAAAACCATGCAGAATCTCTATAAATGAACATTTGGTTGTATAAGAGTAACCACAGAACGCAGACGTTTATATTGTCGATATCAAGAAAAACAAAAAGAGAGAAAACATTGCAACTAGAACAGATTGCATATAAGTTCAGCTGGTGAGGTCAAAATTTTTATGGTTTTATTTGTTCGAACAAATCCTTCGAGTACATTAGAAATAAGCTTTTCAAAAAATCGAAGATTTTTAACGGCTCTGAACGTGTATTGGTTCGCGCACCGAACCAGTTAAACCCTAGTTCGTTCAATATTGAAATACCACTACAAATTATTTCTTTTAAAGTAAGATGAATCAGATAGAATGGAAAAGGGTAAACAACTCTAATATCCGTGATGAAAAAACTCGAATAGTATGATGATCATTTGCTCCAGATAACACCAGGTCACCTACAAGTAGACAAAAGAAATATTAGCTTGAATTTTGTTATGTAACTTCTGAGAGTCAATTAAAAGAATTAGGGGTCAGTTGGTCTCAAACCGATTTACCTTCTCTTTCACACTTGCTGCAACCGTATGCACCGTTGAATGCACCAAGATTTTGAATCATACTTTGTGCAGATTTATTGCACGCTAAACCAATTAAAAACACTGATAAAGGAACAGAAAAACCATCTTGTGAAGCTAGAAAGTATTCAGTTGAGTTTTCCAAAAGTTTGAGCTCCTCAGAGATCTTTGAGATAACTTCACGTATTTGATATTTGTCTAGCTTCTTTTTTTCCATGCCAAATCGCTGCTATAACTGAATTTTTTATATGAAATTGGTGTTTTCTTTTAATTTCGTTAATTATGACTGTAAAAATCCATAAGGATTTGTTTGAAGAATTTGATACTTGAATGCCATCACCATTCATGATGAGTGTTAAGAAAGTTTCATTTTCTTCGTTCAAAATACGCTGATAACACTGACCGTCAGTAATATCTTTAATTACTGCTGACCTGGTTTCAATTCCTCTAGCGAAAGAACCAGAAGTAGAAGGAGAGTTTTTAGCCATTGAAGGAATACATAAATTTTTTTCTGTCATTAGAATTTCTGTTAGCTGCTGTTTAATAGAAAACTGATAGAAAAATAAAGCTTTTCATCAGAACCAACTTTTAGAGTGCAGGATGGATTGCTACATTTCTTATCGGATAGAGAGGTCTTTGTACATTTTGGACAAATATATATATATCCAAAAGAACAAAAACATATGACGTAAAAGGAAAAGAAATAGATAACCAAAGATGATGCAATATATAGACCTAGAATAATATAGTGATCACAACTAAACGGAAAAAAACAATGAACGAATAAAATAGACAAAATGAAAAAAGAATGAAAATAGACGAAATTGAAAAATAGAGACAAAAAGTAAACCACAGTCAGTATGATACTAAAAGATCGCGCATACATACATATACATATAAGACAAAAAATAAAAAATGAATACTAAAGAAAAAACTAAAGGACTAGAACATTAAGTATCTAGACTTAACATTGACAGATAAATAATCTTTGAAAACATGGCGGTTAATTATAGAAAACCAACAATATTATCATTGGGTATTGGTCCATGTCAAGGGAAAACAACATTGTTAAATCATTTATTTTTATCAAAATTTGTAAAAACAGTTAAAAGTATTTATTTTCAACAAATAATTGATATTGATTGTGGTTATTCCTTTTCTGAAAGAAGCATTATTTTTCGGAAAATTTTGCATCCCGCCTTATTATGGGATTCGTTCTCGATATGCTTTATATTTTTCGAGAATAATTTAGGGAGGGATACATAAATTTCTCAAGCCAATCGAACCCGTCAAGGCGAACAACTTGGTCTTTACCGTGCCCTACCTCATAGTCATAAAGATCGGTTAAGAAAATTAAGTGTTTTTTGCTGACTTTGTCAAATCGAATACTTTGTACCAGATGTAAATGCTCTGCTATAAAGATTACTTCTTCTTCATCAGGGTAGTGTGATACGGTTGAAACATCTTTGCAAGTCTTCGCCGCACGCTCCCTATGAATGATAAACAGTGTATTTCCAGGATATCCGCCACAATTTTCAGCAAGATGACGATTCATCGTCGTCGATGTAAGTGGACTCCACTCAATGCTATGCCCAATTGATAGTTTGTAACTATCTAACTCTTTCTGTGTTAAATTACCACCACGAAAAACAGTTAGTTCACGACGTACGTCGGTATAGGATAGACTTTCTCTTAACAGATAGCAGAATACCCCGAGTGTATTGGTTTTCTTCAGATCATTCTCTTGCAAAGTAGCGTTTATTAGTCTGTACAGAAATGATTCGGCTGTATACAGTCGTGCCACAGCATCGTAAATCATTTGACTGTTGTTGTACGTATTAACCTCTCGTGATTGATGAGCCATTATTTCCGCCTCTCTTTGTTGATTGGCACGGGCACCTTCTTCAAGAATACCTAGCAAGAAATAAAGAATTTGCTGGGTCTTCGTAAAAAACCAGAAAAATCCTTCTTACCTCGAATAGCCTCTTCCACAATTTCGTCTAAGACTCCAGTCATCCAGACATTGGCCTGCAGCCTAGTAGTCCACTTCCAATGGTCAATGAAATAATATCCACCATACTTAAAGCCGGCTACATCTGTTTGTCGCAGGATTTCCACTGAGCAGAATCTATCGCTTCTCAGACTTGGTCGTTATACAAGCAGTTGTTCTCTTCTGAGATTTTGACCTAACATATGTTTAACTTCTTCCAACTGCAACGACGGCTGCTTCCCTTCTGCGACCAACTGAGCACTTCTTTGCATTACAGAAACAGCGATCCGAACTGTGCGGTTGTCGAGTGCTGTCTTTCCTAGTTTCTGCCAAATATTTTCAATGAATTCATTTTCCAGATCTGAATATTTCTGCCATTCGTTCGTTCCTGCATTCCTGTTCCTATCATAGAACCAACGAACTTCGGTCTTTGGCGTGAAAATTCTAAAAAAGTTTGAAAAATTTTGAAATGCGGACGGAACTCTTGAAAATGGACTGGAGCTGCAATACTCATGCTAGCGCAATTTGATTACCCTTGGCCGACTGCCACCGCAAACGACGGTTATTCGACATTGTTAAGGAAAAAGTACATTTACTGACTTAAGTTATTTCAACACAAAAAAGAAGTTAGTCTGTGACTAGACCAGCCCATTCCGTCTTCATTCCGGTTCCAGAGGAAGATTTCTTATTTTGCTGTTTTAAATCGGGCGAAGAAATTTTGCTTCTTTACAAGTCCTTATCAGAGGATTTTCGGAGAGTTTTTCAGCACTCCTTGATCTTTGGAAATAGTTTAGACCAGAAGAAAGTCCAGGTCTCTGAACACATCGAGACCGGATTCGTCAGTGGGTTAACTACGGGGAATCGACCATCATTACATTGATCTACTACGCAAACTGTGAAACAGACATTTTTCGATGCAGTTTTGCATGCTGATTCCAATTGTATTAACCAAAGAAACAGCCGAGGGACCTAGAACAAGGGAAAAGGCGGCTCCGGGATCCAAGCGGATCCCTTTTCCCCCTTGACCTAGAATTTGATCACAAACGAAAGATAGCGGTAATTTCTCTCAGAATTGGTCATGAAAAGTTACGTCCGAGCTGCAGGAAGATGTAGAAAGGCTTTAAAAAAACCTGGTTTTGCAAGAAAACCCACGTTAATGAAAGAACTCTGCAATTTTCTTTTAAAAAGTTATGGGATTTGTCAATTATGGGGCGGATATATGTGAAAGCAAACAGAATATTCTTGCAAACGTTTTTGTAAATCTGATAACTTCTTATTGGAGTTTTAGAGACTGGATTGAGGTGTCATTTTGTTCGGAACAGAATGGACTATCGACTAACGTATTCACAGGATGAACTATTCCCATCCACCGCGGAATGGTAAGAGACATCATAAAGTATATCCGCGGCTGGTTGGGTGTGAGATACTATACTAGCTTGAATTGTTTAACATAGATATGGTAGATACAAGTTTCGTCGGACTGTAGATAGCAGT